AGGCGGAGAAGCAGCACCCTTCCCCGTCAAGTCGCAGTAACGCCCGAGTTTCTTTCACGGCTGCGCCGTCTACGAAACTCGGTGTCATCCTCTTGCAGCACACTGTGTTGGACGATCATGTTCAAGGAACTTTTAGATAACATCCTGCAATATTCGAGTTTCTGATAAAAATGTAGGCGATTTTTTCCGTAATGATTCAGCGCCTTTATCTTCTGTCGCGAGGAGACAACAGACACAAATATGGCTTGTAGTTCTCCGAGGTGCTCAGATTTATCGTGGAGTCTTCTGGGTATCGCACCGTATCAAAATAGCAAAACGTGCATACATTTCGGAGAAAGAGATCAAATTTCTCAGAAACGTCGGTATATTTTATCGTTTCGGACAAGCTTCTACTTTCGGAAGATTCTACAACGATAATTAACAGGTTATTTTATAACTGCACAGGTTACACAGAGCCATAAGGGCCAACAACAGGATCTCTAAGGTTGATGAGATAAGGATTTGGAAGGAGGAAGTCGTGACTTACTTTAAAATACAACCACCCGCTTTTCTGGAGGGAATTATGAAACTCACAAGGCTTTACATGTTCCGCGCAAAACATTCTCCGTTATTTTACCACCCTAATAATTGACTATTTGGTTAAGCGTAAGATTTATAAAGTTTCTCATTACACAATTTACTGTAGTCCACCTGTATCACGTGAGTAAGAGCTGCTAAAAATATCTCCTAAGAAATGTTTGTCCATTTCCTCGGAGTTCAACGCACAAATGCATATTAGGTGTGGAAATAAATGTTCGTACTGAATAATAACGCAAGATTAAAACGTAATCCCTGCTTTTGTGGGTATTATTTCAAATTTCAGAGAGTACAGTTTATCACACTGTGTGAAAGTAGTCAAAAGAGGAGCTGAAGAGGACTTTTCTGTAACAAGAAGAGACTAATGAACATCAGACAATGTTATCACATCAACTAAGGTGATGAAGCCAGATGCGGTAAGATTATTCCTTGCTGTATGATCCGGATTTTAAAACCAATTAAAAGATATTATCGTCTATAAATCTCTTTAAAGAAAAAAAAAGATTTTTATTGTTGTTTGCTTTACATTAAGGATCTTTAGTAAAATATTTTTAAAACTGATGACATCGGCAGTTAAATTTCTCAGTTTATTCCTCACTTCCTTTCAGTGTTCAACCAAAACACGGCCTTATCTACAATCACAATTACACCCCAAACAAGGCGAATGGTTATGCGGCGAGAAATGGAACTAGTGATCTGACTGTTATATTTATTAGCCAGACGCAGACATCAGCGCTCTCACGCAGATAACCACCGGCCTTCCTCGGAGTATACCAATGTTATAAGGAGACTATTTATATTCCTTGTGTGCGGTTTTTACGATACAATTTCCATCTACATTCCCTAAAATAATCTGGATATGTTCCGTCAGCAGAATACAAAATTAGCCGACATAAAACCACGTGAAATACAAATCCTGACTTTTCTGTTCAGCCGCTCCGGAGTTCCATGAGAGACGGAACATTATGAATGTATGGTGAGAGAGAGAGAGAAAGAGAAGTAAGTAACATTTAAATGATTTTATACGCCACAGCGAGTGAAATAGAGAAGACAAAGACGAGCGGAAACTGAAACGAAGGATATCAACAGAGAAGGAGCAGACTAAATCCTTTGTCTCAAGCAGACATGACGGCGATGTCTTTGTTCAAAGTTCACAACAGCTCGAGCTTTCGGCGTATGGTTTGTTTATAAAATACGCTAGCGTTTTTAGTGAAATTGTAAGCCCTCGTACGTTTAACATTTATAATTTAAGCATAAACTTAATGACCAAACCATAATACTCCGTGTATTCGCCACGTTATTTCCGATCTTTTAAAATAATTATTCCAATAAATATTTCTTACACCTTTGAATTTATCACCATACAAAAATGAATTGCCCTACATAAAACGACGCTAGATTAGCTTCCACCACAGAACTTCGCCCAACATCTATGTAGGTTTCGTTAACAACAGGGAGATAGTGCTCTATGTATATTTCGTTACAGAATCTATGAAAAGTGTTTAGGAAATATCGCTTTACAGTCGTTATAAAATCTTATAAGTGGCTAATAACACTTCTCGAAACAATTTTTCCTGCTCATTATTCAACGTTCATTCTATACTCATTAACATCACCATTATTAAAAATAGGCTAAGAAACAAACGATTTTTCTGTTCTTGTTTCAGAAATTCTCAACAACTTGTGCAAAGTGTTTATTGCCAGCAACGTCTCCGCCATCTTGTTTCTGACTAATTATGAAGCATATGGGAGAGAAACTGCGTCTGCGCAGTACTTTCTGCAACTTGCTGGTTACCTAGGCATCCCTGTCATAGCTTGGAACGCGGACAATTCAGGTCTAGAAAGGGTAAGAATATTTCATATGTCAGTACTACTCCTTTAAAACGAAACACTCGATAGGTTAGGTTCAATTTGATATTTTCAAGCTACTAAAATTGTTTCACACTTTTGTTCCTTGAAATATCCCCCCCCCCTCTATTTAAACACGTTTGTTATGAAATCTCATAAAATAATTTGGGCCTAAGTGAGATGTAGTAACAACCAGAAATGTTTCATAACGTGAAGCTTTGTAACGTATATCTTCACTCCGTATTCGTAGGGTAACAAAATAAAGTGTGAGGAGTGGGTATCAAATCTGTGATCGAACTGTGAGCTTCTGCTGACAGTGGATACTCCAACGTATCGGATGAACATATTGGAATCCTCAGCCCTGAAGATGGAAGCAATATGTTCCTTTGTTATTTACTTACACGTTTAAGCAGTTTTATAACCTAGAATACCAACGTCGACACAGAATATTCTAATGCGATGATAATGTAGTTCTATTTTCCAGAAACTTAAAGTGTGCTTCTTGTGTTACATATTTCGTCTGTCAAGAATAACTGAACATTTGTTTTTCAGAGGGGGTCTCAGCTGACTCTCCAGCTGCAAATGGCGCCGTCTTTAGAGCATCAGACGGCTGCCATGTTGAGTATTCTGGAGAGATACAAGTGGCATCAGTTCTCTGTCGTCACAAGCCAGATAGCAGGACACGACGACTTCATACAGGCAGTTCGAGAACGTGTGATGCAGATCCAGTCGCACTTCAAGTAAGTAACAGCAAACCAAGACCCAGAGCGAGAAACTTAAGACGCCTGTTTCTTTAAAATTATCAAATGCACACACAAACGCATGTATGCATATAGGTGTGCGAACTGCTCTGACCAATCAGCACATTATCACACCCTCGAGCCTAACTTAGAGACTTTATATCTCAACCTGCACTTGGGCTGGTCTCGGAATAAGGGTAGTTTACTTTAGTTTAATTTACATACAGATCCGGTATAAAGTTAAACGAAACTGTCACTTCCCGGCTGGAAGTGCATGACTCACCGCTAAGTGCTACAGAGTTTTCCCAACACGAGTCAAGTATCGCACTACAAAAACAATGCAGTAAACTTACGTACATTATAGCAGCTCCTGGCGGTTGCCGAGAACTGACAGTTGCGTTCAACATTATAAGCTAAAGCACTTTATAGCATAATAAAACTAATTTCTCTTCAGTTAACTAGCAGATTAATTAATGATGTATTAAACTGAACAAAAATGTTTGAGTAACAAATTATATACAGTACGATGAAACTTAATTTGAGAAATCACCTCCTATTAATAAGCAGTTTCAGAATCTTTAATTTACAACCCAACACATTTTGTAAACCTAGTTTCGGTAGCTATCGCCATCTCGATGAATGTCTGCGTACTAAATCCTTCGGACTCTGAGCACTAACAGACCTCATATCTAAGATAATGAAAACCATAATATGAAATACATAAAACTTGCTTACAGAATCAGTACAATGTGGTAGAGAAGAGGTAGATAAAATACGATCCGTCTAAAAATTCAATCCGGCCCTATACAATTTTTATTCCTCGTACATAGTCCAGACAAAGTAGGCCTATTTTAATCTAAAAAGTGTAAATATTTGGGCGAAAACTCAAGTTTTGGTAACTTACTACTACGCATATATGTAATTATTTTCATGCGACCTACTCTACCTGGAACTCAGAATAAGGAGTATAAGCAGACTCTCAAGATTAAATTTAAATCATGTCTTAAGAGCTTAAGAACATCATTCAAATGTTTAGGACATCACCGCTGTAACATTTTATAAATTGCGTCATTAATAAGTAGTGAAAATGTCTAATGTTTCTGAAACGGAGATAGCAAGTTCCTCCAAAACGTCGGATTTCTTTTTACAGTTTCTAAATTCTGCAATATCCACAAGACACCATAATGAATTTTAAATATACACGAAAATATCAAGTATCATAGCAAAAAAAATATTTTTAATTATTTTATATATTATTAAGGTCTGCGATTAATATTTGAGTACAATTTTTTTATCGTGAGGCCGTCCATCCAATATTCACACCGGAACAGTACCATCTGAACCGCGAGTGAAAATAAATCCCTATCCCCATCGGAGCTGAACACTGCCCAAATTACAATAGTTCTCCCACATGAACGCACGAATGTGTGTGGCATACCTAGGCTAAACCAATTGCTTTGGATTCCTCATTGAAGGAATCTGCCTACTCTACTCTATCGTGATTTGAACCAAATCGACCCTCCACAGCAGCTGTTTCCTTC